GTGGGAACATTTTTAAGAAAAAAAATTGTGATGTTGGTGTGTCCTTCAAGTCTCTCCCAGCCATAAGCAGTCTAAGGGGGAGCGGAGGACACGGAGAAGGCTGGCCTCACTGCTTTGTGCCTCACAAAGCTTTTATAAATAGTAGTGCCTTTCAGAGGTGGGGGTGGGTGATGAAGTTCAGTTGCATTTCGATTTACTGATACTGCAGTATTTTTTTTCTTAATTTTAAGATATATTTTAAATGAAAACATCTGTACGTAGGATGGGACCAGGAGTTCTTGAGTATCAACCTCAGTTATTCTACATGCATCCTTTCTTACAGAAAGACTTTGTTGTTTTCTGCCCCAAATGTCCCCATTAATAAAAATGGAAGGGGGGGGGAAGAGAAGAATAATCTCATAAGAATGTTAAAAGAATTGTCATAGTTGAGACATCTATAAAATAGTTTGATTTTCTTAAAGTGCTACACACTGCCAGTGCTAAGAGTTTTATTGATAGTAACTTTGAACATTCCAGTTTTCAATATTCATGTCTTTAGATACCATTTACAAACTCATGGGGTTAAACGCTATAAATTGCTTTTAATTGGAAGTTCTGGGTGCTCCTTGTCTACATGTTACTTGGTCTTACCTATAAATTCCATCATTTAAGAGCTCGTCTACAGAAAAGGATTAGGAAAGCTGGTGAGGTCTTAAATGTCCATAAGCTGTTTGCTCCGGTATTTCTTACAGCAGATGTGAAGAGTATGATGCTTTCCAAGACAGCCAGTACCTTCTCTTCCCAAGCTTTATGCTCTAGTGAAAATGGTCAGAGAAGAACCCAAACACCTGCTTTCCTCACTGGGAGGACAGACTTGAGAATCAAATGTCCTCCTATATCACAATTCATTTCTTTTGAGTCTCATAATAATCTATAAGAAGAGGCAAGTGAAGTGCACAGATGTAGATGTGAATCATTGCTTTTGGGAAGGAATGCTTTGGCTCTGGTCTGTCAAGAGTATTATATCTGTGAGTCTGTGAGTCACTCATTACTTTTTTTCTTGCCTATCTGGAAGAATATGGAAATTTGAATTTTTGAAGCTATGAGGAAAAAATATGATATAAACTAAATGGTAGTTATCTTTATGCGTTCTGAAACTTTCTCCCCTGCACCTGATAGAGAAGGAAATACTTTGAACATAAAGGGTCTCTGTAGTAGAGCAAAAGTACACACTCATCACATCCTTACTGTAGCCCATGAATTGTACTAGATGAGTTTTGAGGAATTTAGACCATAGTCCTTTCTCTCCTTGGTAGCATTCCTATGGAGTCTGGGTTAGGCAAACATTTATAAGCTTTCAATGGATTTATTTGTAAAAGCACTTCATGATTTTTCTTTGCTATTTAAAATCTAAAGATCTTTTGGGAATGAATTATTAGACCCAGGGTAGGCTAAAGGAAGAACTCACACATACTCCATCAAGAAAAAAGAAGATACTGTGATAATAATTATTTTCTGAAAAACAATAAGGCTTTCAAATGTATCATTAATTCCAAAGACCTCAAAAGGGCTGAAATTTGTCCACAGAACTAGAGGTTTTAATAGGAAATGTTTTCATGCAAACATCTACACAGAAATAGAATGCAAAAATATATGACCATATTTTTATAAAAGGCATATTTCCTCATTTTCAATATAAGGTTGAAGTTAGGGAAGAAAAATAAAAGTTATTCTAAGGCAACATTTCATCTTGAAGTGACATTAATTAAAAGCCTAAAATTATTACTCACAGGCTATTGTATTTTTATTTTAGCCTGTTTGCTTAGAAATTCTAAACTGTGGTCAGGTTTACTTTCTTGAATAGAATGACCAAAATAACAAAATGACCAAAATAACAGTTTAGCCAGATAACTTACTTCAGTTAAAGGGAGGAAGGTAGGAAAAAGTGCAAATGGCAATTCTTGGGATGTCAACTCCTGATGGTTAATTTAACCAAGTGAATTTGCCAGCCGAGGAAGAGGCATTTCATCAATTCCCCACTTCCGTCAATAACTAAGTCCACATTCTGGAGTACATGAGACCATTACTGTGACCTCAAAGACTGTGGCTATAAATCTGAAGTTAACATAATATGCATCTTCTTTACCAGCTTAAGCCATATCTATTACCTCTGTGTTTGATTTTTTTTTTTTTAACCCCTGGTGCTTTTACTTCTGTTTCTGCCAAACTTCAGCCTACTCTATGGGGAAGGTGAGTAAAATGAGAGGTAGGACAAATATGAAGACTGTGAAAAACTAAACATACCCTCAAGAATGCATTTTTTGCAGAGAACATTAGTGCTCAAATGCAAACTGTTGGAACATATGAATATATGTACATCTGTACATGTATATAGTGTAAAATATGTATGTATATGTTATTGCTCATATGCAGAAATCTATCCATTTGCAGATAGCCCAGGTGGGTCAGTTTTTCTATTGGAAAACCATTTAGGGTCATTCAAAACCATTAGGGCTAATACATGGAGAATTCTATTGACAGGAGAATTCATTTGCTGTCTTTTGAAATCCACATAGCCAAACTAACAAAGTATGAAACCATTATTTATGCCATTCTTTTACCAGGACTCAGAAGTATATATTTGAATTCTTAATAGCTGGTTTGCAAGCTGCATTAGCACCTCTTGGTTTTCAGTGATCCTGTCCCCCCAAGTCTTTTGAGAATTTATGGTCGACTTCTCTGGCCATTGAGATAAAAGACCTTATCCATAGTGGACAGGTTTCCCCATAGGGACCATTAGACATATACATATAAATACATACTTCCATCAGGCTTGTAACGATTGATTTAAAAATCACTACACAGTATTGATAAATAGCTCTATATTTTCAAGGTGCAGAAGAATTCCACAGCCTTAATTATTTCAGTGTCTTGCTGGTCTGCCTTAAGTGTATCTTCTGGGTTTTTTGGTTGTTTTATTATTTTAAAATTTTTCTGCAGTTGTTCATTTTGTATGCACATAATGTCATTTTGTAAAGTTAGGTTGTAAATATTTTATTTGTAAGTCAGAATTGCTCATGTGTAATGTTGTAGAGTGATGATCTGCTGTCTTGTTATTATACTGCAGTAAATGTTATAAGTTATGGATGAAACTTCAAAATGTACATTTCACATGTTATGAATTCCTATAAATATACTATACTGAAGATACTATTTCTGGTCACTTTTTTTCTCTTTAAATTTTTTTATTAATTTATGTGTGTGTAGTGTGTGTGTGGTGTGTGTATATGTGTGTGTACATGTATGCCACAGTGTAAGTGTGGAAGTCAGAGGCCAAGCTGCAGGAGTTGGTTCTCTCCTTCCACCATATGTATCCAGAGGATGGAACTCAGGTGGTCAGACTTGGTGGCAAGGACCTTCATCCACTGAGCCATCCTCTCTGGCCCTTGTCTCTCCCTCTCCAATTAAAACGCCTATTCAAAAAGAAAACAAAGAGCATTTTTTTTCCTCTTTTTCCCCCAAATTTGAATGTCTTTGACAAGCTAAAAAAAACAAACCAGGGGCTAGATAGATGGCTCAGCAGTTAAGAGCACTGGTTGCTCTTGCAGAGGACCCAGGTTTAAACCCCAGCACCTACATGGTCACTAACAACTGTAACTCCAGTTCCAGGGGATATGACACCCTCTTTTGGCTTCCTCGGGCATTACATGACATGGGTGCATTTACATACATGCAGGCAATACACTCACACATAAAAATAATAAAATATTAAAAACCCAAACCAAATCAAAACAAACCAACCACCACCACCACCAACAACAACAAAAAACCATTATTTGGTCAGCAAGATGCTCAGTGGGTAAGGCATTTGTTGTCAAGCCTGATGATCTGAGTTCTATCCTCCAGGACTGCATGATGGAAGGAAAGAACCAATACCTGCTGGATCTCACAGTTTTATGCATACAGGCATGGACTCCAGGCATATGGGAGAACCCATACACCTATGATCAGGCTTTCAAAGTCTGCAAGTGCCACCCAGGTGCAAATGAGGCTGATCCATAGTGTACTGTCAATTAACAGCTCATAGAGATGTTTGGCTTTGCCAATAAGAACAAAATGTTTTAACATTTGACTTCTTTTTCATCCAGGTTTTACTGCATTTACTGGTAATGGCAAACTGTCAAAGGCATGGGGCTTTCATGTTAGGATAATATAACCAATATAATCTCTTTAGAGGGAAAACAAAAGACTATAGAAATGGAATCTCAGAATCAGTTTGATAAATTAAGATTTTAGGCTCTGGGTTTTAGGAGTTATTTTCCTTAAACTAGGTTAAGATGCAACCTTAAGAGATCTAGAGACACAGCCTCATTACTTTGTCCAGATGGGCTTGGAACTTGTATTCCTGCTTCTGGCTCCTGAGTAGCTAGGCTTGCAGGGGCACATCCTCTCACCCAGCTAAGGGATTTATAAGCCAAATATGTTTGGGTTTTCAGATTGTCTAGCAACTTTATCCTCCCAGACAGCCCTGCCGCTGGCCAGTTCATCCACCCTCAACCCTCCTCCCCATCCTCATCTCCTATGTCAGTATTTGAGACATTCTAAGGGAAATCACATCTTCTTTCAGCACCAGAGTACAAAAGAAAATGAAACGCTCGGTTATCTGCTTTATATTCCCAAGTGCAAAGTGCTATGAAACTTATGCACCAGATGCTAAATTAATAAAAGAATTGCGGCTCTGTCTTCCAGAACTATTTTAGTGGGGGAAACAATGGAGGAGTACTGAAGTACTAAGAGATGATCTTGGTAGATAATTAAGGGAATTAAGGGTGGACCTATAAAAAATGAGCATGATCTACACAGATTCTCTTAACAGACGCGAAGCTTCAAACAAGGCGGTCCAGGCTTTAAATCCCTGAGTGCCGACCGGAGGGCAGCCGGCCCAGGCCCAGACCCGGGCACTATGCAGGGGTGCAAGGCGGGAGCCTTGAGATCCTGGCCGCAAAAGGCGGCGGAAGAGGCGGGACTTCTCGGGTGACGTCACCGAAGCCGCGCCCGGCGTCCAGAGCGAACTGAAACGCGGGAGGATGGCGGTCGCCAGTGAGGCCTTGGGGCCCTTGGTGGCGGAGCTGTACGACGTGCAGGCTTTCAAGTTTGGAAGTTTCGTGCTGAAGAGCGGGCTCTCCTCCCCGGTCTACATCGACCTGCGCGGCATTGTGTCCCGACCGGGACTTCTTAGCCAGGTGCCGGGAGAGAGCGCGCGGCTGTGGGTGGCGGGAACGGGCACCGGGTGCTGGCGGGCGGACCGCAGCCGGACTGCCAGAAGAGCCCCGCGCAAGCTCACCCACTGCGGGCTTGGGGTGGGCTGCAGGACCCCGAGCCGTGAAGCCCCTTGGGACCTTGTTCTTGACCGAGCGGCGTTGACACGTACTTTGCGAGAGTCAGGAAATCTCTGGACTCTGCCCGGGGCAGACGTCCTCGAGCGAACCTGTGTGCTTAGCCACCGAAGGAGGAAAGGAAAAGGTGGCGGGGTGGAGAATTTAGGGGCTGGCCAAAAGTCTGGGAGAGTTTTTGCGTAGAAAGGAGAACTCAGTGGTGTGGCCAGGAGCTAGAAATTAAGGTCGGGTGGTGGACGTCAGGGTCGCAGTGTTTTGGGTAGTAAGGGTAAAACTTCGGACTGGTTTGAGATTTCTAGCCCAGCTTCCCAAACCTTGAGTGGATTATATATGGATCACCTAGAAGTTTAATTCATTGTGTGAATAATGTACGGCCTTGAGATTATGCAGTTCTCACAAAGCTGCCAACTGAAGCTGCAGGCTACATTTTGAGTGGAAGAGAGGAATGTTCAGCCAGAGAAAGTGTTGCTATTCAATGTGAACATTGAACACTATGAATTGTTTAGTACAGTTATTTGATGTATGGGGGAGGCACGCATGTGCAAAAGCACTCGTGTAGAGGTCAGAGGACATCTTGGTTTTCGCCTTCCACCATGTGGGTCTGGGGATTGAATTTAGACGTCAGGCTTGGCAGAGAGCGCCTTTTACCCATTGAGTTTCCTCACGTGCCCAAAGTTTGAAATCCAAATAGCATTCGGGAGATGGAGGTAGTTCAAGGTCATTTTATACTCAGCTGCATACTCAGTTTGAGGCCAGCCTGGGCTACTTGAGAACCTGTCTCAAAAGCAAACAAACAAGAAATCAAATAGTTATGTGTTACTAGTGGCTACCGTGTTGGTCAGAAGAACCATAGAATATTTCCATCATCACAGAAAGTTCTGTCAAGAAGACATGTAGCCAGGCAGAGTGGTGCACGCACCCGTAATCCCTGCATTCAGGAGGCAGACATACATACAGCATTATGTAGGGAAACCCAGTCTCCAGAAAACAGATAAACAAAAAAGAATGAGTTTCTACCACATACTTTACTGGTTTTTGATTCTTGAGTACCCATTTTGTCTAATTATTGTAAAATAGATTGAACCCCTGACTGAGGTGGGTCACACTGCTAACTTTCACCATCCAGAATCACGACTCTTGTAATTGTGTCTCATCAATAGGGAAAGTAAATTACTAAGAATTTTCTAATGAAAAAATGGGTTTAAGAAGTCATTTGGTGCACGACAAAATTGCTTTTTTGTGTTAGATCATGGCGATTTTGTATGACTTTCAGTGGTTAGAGATTACAAAGCATCTATAACATCTGTTTATGTGATAAGGCTTCTCAGTATTTGTACTTCCCAGAAAAACAATAGAACGCAATAGAATATATGCTAACCTCTTAACTTCCTGGTAATAAGTTGATATTTGACTAATTGTATGTGCACATAAACATTTGGAGGAAAAAGGTATTTCACTAAGAAATGAGTTTCTAAAATCTTTTATGCTTCTATCAAAATCTGCAAATTATGTTTTAATTACATACTCACTATATGATAACACAGAAAAACTTATACCAGATTTATGATCTTGGAAATTTTTTATTATTTTTATGTGTATGTGTGTACTGCGTGCATGTATGTAAGTGCACCCATGTAATGCAATCCTGGTGGAGGACAGAAGGTGTTGGATCCCTTGGAACTGGAGTTACAGACAGTTGCTAGCTGCCATGTGGGTGCTAGGATTTGAACCTGGGTCTTCTGCAAGAACAGCCAGTGCTCTTAACCACTGAACCATCTCTCCAGCCCTGCTCTTGAAAAAATTTTGAAAATTTTATTTTTATTTTCTGTTTACGGGTGTTTTACCTGCATATATGTAAGCACACTTGTCTCATGCAATGCTCATGGAGGTCAGAAGATGGCGTCAGAGCCCCTAGAACTGAAGTTATAGATGATTGTTAACCACCATGTAGGTGCTGAGAACTGAACCCAGGGCCTCTGGGACAACGGCCTGTGCTCTTAACCACTGAACCATCACCTCTGCAGCCTCTTGAAAACATTATTTTTTTAATTTTTAATTTTTATTTATTTTTATTTTATGTGTGTCCGTGTATTGCCTGCATGTAGGTAAGTGCACCTGTGTCGTGCAATGCCCGCGGAGGACAGAAGAGACTGTCAGATCCCCTGGAACTGGAGTTACAGACAGTTGTTAGCTGCCATGTGGGTGCTGGGATTCGAACCTGGGTCTTCTGCAAGAACAGTCATTGTTCTTAACTGCTGAGCCATCTCTCCCGCCCCTTAATTTACTTTTTAAAAATGTGTATGAGTGTTTTGTCTGCCATGTATGTAAGTGCACCTATGTGCACAGTGCCCGTGGAGGCCAGAAGAGGGCATTGGATCCTTTGAAACTGGAGTTAAGGAGAGTTGTTAACCTTCATGTGGGTACTTGGAAACAAACCCAGGTTAACCACTGAGCCTTCTCTCCAGCCATGAAAAAAACAATTATTTATTCATTCCTTGTAGCCCCAACCAGCCTGGAACTTGATACGTAGATTGGGCTGACCTAGATCTACCTGCCTCTGCCTACATGCCCAGACTAAGAAGAAAATATTTTGAAGACCTATCCTGGTTTATGAACCATCTCTGAGCATTCTGTTTTGGGGGGGGGGTCTTTTTGAGACAAGGTCTCCCTATAGCTCCAGCTGGCCTGGAACTCACTATGTAGACCAGGCTGGTCTTGAACTCAAATCCACCTGCCTCTGCCTCCCAAGTACTGGGATTAAAGGCATGTGCCACCACACCTAGCTGTGAGTCCTTTTTCTTAAAAAAATAAAAGATTGGTGTTGGATGGGAGTACACATTCTGACATTAAAATACGAATATGATTTATGTAGAAAAGAGTATAAAACATTTCACACAATGGACTCTATACTTAGGGAACTCTTAAAGATTTCTTCAGAAAATAGAACCAGCCATTTAGATACTCAAAGTGTAACAGAAGTCTAGGAACCATCCTTAATCTTCAGGGTGTATCATAACTTTCCCCAGCGCATTTCATGTTGTCTTCAGGTCCTGAACCTAGCTGAGTAGGTTCATTTTTGTGTGTGTGTTTGTATACCAGGATTTAAGATTGTAGTGATGGATCTAAATCTGTCGCTGAATATTTTTTCTTCTGAGATTATATCTTCAAACAGAATTGGTTGATTTTTGAGTGATCTGTCTATATTTTGGGGGGTTGGGGAGTTGGCTCAGTGATTAAGAACACTAGCTGTTCTTGCCCAGGTTAGGTCCCCAGCATCCACATGATGGCTAACAACCAATTAGGTCCAGGAGGTCTGTCACATTCTTCTGGCCTCCATTGGTATTGCTTGCATATGGTACCCTTACATACATGTAAGCAAAACATTCATACACATAAAACAAAAATAAGAATTTAAGCTAATTCTCCCTTCCCCCATTAGGTTTGGGATTTATTTCCTGCTGGGTTACTCCCTTTAATGTTCCATGATTCATACAGCATTTTAAGTGATGGTACTAATGGGAAGTTTTTCTGTTCATTTCCTTACAGATTGCAGACATTTTATTCCAAACTGCCCAGAATGCGGGGATCAGTTTCAACACTGTGTGTGGAGTGCCTTACACAGCTTTGCCTCTGGCTACGGTTATCTGTTCAGCAAATCACATTCCAATGCTCATAAGGAGGAAAGAAACAAAGGATTATGGTAACACAGAAGTAGTAGCATAAGCAGCCAGTTACTGTGTGACCCGCTAAGATTTTGTTCTTTTTTGGTGCTGTCTTTTTCAGAACTGATGATTACTAGAGTTGTCTGTTCCTAGAAGGCCTACAGTACAACCTGTGAGATTTAAAAGTTGTTGTAAATCATCTTTCTTTATCATCTATGCCTGAGCAGGGTGTGGTAATGCATGCCTTTAATCCCAGCACCCAGAAGGCAGAGGCAGAAAGATCTCAGTTGTAGGCTAGCTGGGGCTACAGGGAGACCTTGTCTCAAAAAAAAAAAAAAAAAAAATTAACAGTAGAATGTAGGTCTGAAATGCTTTGTGTTGACTGGGCAGCTTTGAAAAGGCGCTCTTTGTGAAACTTCGACTTTTGTATTGGCCCTTCCCTCATCAGTATTTTCGAAGAATACATACTTTCTCTGTGTGTTTGCATTGAAATGCAGAGACAAATGAGTAAGGTTACTCTCATAAAGATTTGTACACTTAATACATTTTGTGTGGTCCATGACAATAAGTTATCATGTGAGTTTGCTTTACAATTTGAAAATCGAATTAAAAATATCAGGGCAGATTCATACTTAATGATATTTAAGAATTAATGGGACTTGTGCATTTTATGTTGATGTGATAATGCTTTGTTGCTTTGTTATTTTGAAGAGGTTTTTTCTTGTTTTTGGAATTTTAGTTTTTTTAAATTTTATTATTTTTTTATGTGTATTGCCTGCAAGTAGGTAGGTGCATCCGTGTTGTGCAATGCCTGCGGAGGTCAGAAGAAGCTGTTGGATCCCCTGGGATTGGAGTTACGGACAGTTATTAGCTGTCATGTTGGTGCTGGGATTCGAACCTAGGTCTTCTGCAAGAACAACCAGCGTTCTTAATTGCTGAGCCATCTCCAGCCCGGTTTTGGAATTTTTGAAACAGGGTCTTCCTGTAGCCCCAGTTAGTGTGGAACTCCCTATGTAGGTCAGGCTGTGACTAAGGTATGTATCATCATACCCGCTGTTTGTTTTTTTGAGGCAGAGTCTAACTATACATCCCTGGCTGGCTTGTTACTCGCCATATGGCCCAGGCTGGTCTCAAATATGTAACAGTCCTCCTGTCTCAGCCTTCTGAGTGCTGAGATTGCAGGCATGTACCACATCTAGCTTTGAATTTATGTTTTTAAAAGGCAAATTGTCAAAGCATTTGTTGTGAAACATTGAACAGTCAACAGAAAGCTTCAGAATAGATGGTCATAAAGTAAGATTTAGATCCTCTCTTAATGTGTACATTCCAGGTTTAGGCTCCAGAGACATCTTTAGTTGGCTGAAACATAATTACTTTTGTTGTATATGGAAATTGGAATCAATGGAAATTTTTCTTTGCGAGGTACCAAGCGTCTTGTGGAAGGAGAGATTAATCCGGGAGAAACCTGTCTGATCATTGAGGATGTCGTCACCAGTGGCTCCAGTGTTCTGGAAACTGTTGAGGTTCTTCGGAAGGAGGGCCTGAAGGTGACTGATGCCATAGTGCTGTTAGACCGAGAGCAGGGAGGCAAGGACAAGTTACAAGTTCATGGGATCCAGCTCCACTCAGTGTGCACATTATCCAAAATGCTGGAGATTCTTGAGCAGCAGAAAAAAATTGATGCCGAGATGGTCGGGAGAGTGAAGAGATTCATTCAGGAGAATGTTTTCACAACAGCCAATCATAATGGTTTTCTCCCTTCTGAAAAGAAAGCACGAAAAGAACTCAGCTTTGGTGCACGGGCAGAGCTACCCAGGATCCACCCAGTTGCCTCAAAACTTCTCAGGCTTATGCAAAAGAAGGAGACCAATCTGTGTCTGTCTGCTGACGTTTCAGAGGCCAGAGAGCTGTTGCAGCTGGCAGATGCCTTGGGACCCAGCATCTGCATGCTCAAGACTCATGTAGATATTTTGAATGATTTCACTCTGGAAGTTATAAAGGAGTTGACAACGCTGGCAAAACGCCACGAGTTCTTAATATTTGAAGACAGGAAATTTGCTGATATAGGAAACACAGTGAAAAAGCAGTATGAAGGTAAGTGCATTCTAAATTTCCAAGAATCAAAAATCCGCCTTAAAGTGCTGAAGGGAAAAAGACGTTGGCTTCAGGTCAGTCGTAGAGCAGTGTGAGTGGATCCAGGAGCTCAAGTAATGTCTCTGAAATTGTCTCTCAGCTGTGCTTTCCTCTCCTCAGTCTGCTTTCTTTGTTGACTTGTCTCTCAGGTAGGGAATTTCCATGTCTCTCACTTGGGTAGAGAATCCCTTCATTAGCTGGCCTGGGAAATGCACCTGCTCCTTTGAGCGTGAAGTTGAACTCTAAACATCTCGAGATCTCTGTTCATTCTCAGAGAAAATGGGTGAGCCATATTAGAAAAAGGGTGCTGAGTTCCTTCTGGGCAGGCACAGTGTTAGGTGTTGGCCCTGGATGAAAATTATAGATGAAAGATGAAATGAAACATTTTCAGTAGAAAAAAAATCTGTTGATAACATGGCTTTTATATTTATTGGTTTTGTGAGAGTCTCCCTATAGCCACAGCTGGCCTAGAACTCACTATGTAGATTAGGCTGGCCTCTATTTATACTTTTAAAAGTTTTTAAACATAGGGGAAAGCAGTACATATGTGGGTTGGGAAAATGCTTAGTCTTACTACTCGTTTAATATACAATTCTGTTTTTAGAAATATGTGACCATATTTTACTATTTAATGCTTTTCGTTTAACACATTTAGCCACATTTTATAGAAGCATCTTTGAAATAACTTTGTTTTTTTGTTTTTTTTTTTTGAGATAAGGTCTCCCTGTAGCCCCAGCTGGCCTAGAATTCACTATGGAAGACTAGGCTGGCCTTGATCTCATGGTCATCATCCTGCCTCCCAAGTGCTGGAACTAAAGTGTGAGCCACCAGCAGCGTAGTTTTTCTTGAATGTGTGCATGTTTCCAGACTAGTCCTTTCAAGTAGAACTGTCTGTAACATCTTCAAGTGCTGATGATGTCCTACCATTGCTACAGTGCTTAGTTCAGTTGAGCTTACTGATTGAAAATAAGAGTTATACAATCTTTATTTAGGCTTGCATGTTGGTTTTTCAAAAATTAGAGTTTTTGCCTTAACAGTTGCCTGTTAAGATTGGAATAGCTAAGGAACACATCCGACTGTCGAGTTAATGAGAAATTTCTACAGGGTGAAAACGTAATTTTCAAGAGCAGTTTCAGGACATCACTGCCCTTAAGCTCTGTAAACACCTATCTTCATGGGAGTCCTGTTCTTTTTTTATATTTTATTTTTAATGAATGCATGTATGTAAGTGCACCTGTGTCATGCAATGCCCACAGAGGACAGAAGAGGCCATCGGAACCCCTCGGAACTGGAATTACAGTTAGCTGCCATGTGGTTGCTGGGATTCTCACCTGGGTCTTCTGCAAAAACAGCCAGTGTTCTTAACTGCTGAGCCCTTTCTCCAGACTCAGGAGTCCCTTTCTAATTGCATGAGCTTTATTTCTGATCCTGAACTTCAGTCTTCAGATCAGTGTTCTTGATAAACCAAGTGCTGCATTGAGTGTGGTGGTAGGCTGATCTTTTTGAGTTCAAGGTCAGCCAGGTTTATATAGTGAGACCCTATCTTTGGGGGTGGGGATTTTCTCACTTGGATCTCTGGTCTGGTGGACTGCTGAATTTTTTGGAACCATAGATCCATAGATACCACTGAAGTTCTTTATGTACTTGACTGCTTCATTAACTTGTTTCTAGGAGATCATTTCCTATTAGTTGGTTGGGCAAAACTTTATATAGGTTGTTTGGAAATTAGCACATCTTTTTTATTCCTTAGGTGGTGTCTTTAAAATTGCCTCCTGGGCAGATCTGGTAAATGCCCACGTGGTGCCAGGCTCGGGGGTTGTGAAAGGCCTACAGGAAGTGGGCCTGCCTTTGCATCGGGGTTGTCTGCTCATTGCAGAGATGAGCTCTGCAGGCTCCTTGGCCACCGGAAACTACACTAAAGCAGCAGTAAGTGATGGGGAAGACCAGAGCTGTTATGCTACATGCTCTTGGGCAAGAAAATATCATCTGAGGCCTGTGGAACTCATGCCCTCACCCTCCCTATGATTCAGCTATTAATGTGGTAGTATAGTAGTTAATAGCATTTTGTATCTTGTAGCAGATGGTTTGAATTGTACTCCAGGTCATTAAGACCCATATCTACCTATAACTGCCTTTAAGATGTCTTTTTCATCTCACTCTGAGCAGAAAGTGGAGATAGAATGCATTTTTCAGAACCTCCCAAGTCCCACAGAGCTGTGCATTGTCATGACAGCAGCCCACATGACATGACTCCCTCTTGTCATTGTTTTTGGTGGGAAAAGCTAAGGTGTCCAGCTGCATGTTCCAGTATGGGTGAGGTCCTGGGCTTCATCTTTAGTCCCGCACAAAAAGTCCTTATACAATACTTGTGAAGGCCCTGTTCATTCCAAACACCGCTTGCAAAAAAATTGAATAAGAAATGGATAATTACCTAGTTAAAAAGTTGCTCTTCACATTTTCCTGTGTTACATTTTATAGTTGGATAGTCACCTAGAATTGTAGATAAAATGCCATGGAAATATTTTTCTATAACTGTTCAAAGACAGTACTTACAAAGAGCTGTTAAGAATTGACCTGCCCCTAGAGTCATGTTTTGACTCCATCCCTACAGGGACTGTAAATACCTGGTTTCCCAAGTCTCAAAAATAAAAGGTCCAGATGGTCAGTGCTGGTATTAAAATTCTGGGAGTGTGGGTCAGGCTCAAGGACAAGCTGTCAGTTGGTGGTAGCTGGTGATAAGACAGTGTGACAGCCAAACCAGGCCTGTTCTGCAGGATGTGATAGTATGGAAATGAGGTCAGTGAAGAGCAGGTGCTGGAGAAGCAGAACTTTCTGGAGGAACTTTGTATGAGATAGCACATGCCTCAAATCCTCTTTGGGAGTAGATGAGCCATCGGGCATTATTATGAGAGTTATACACAGTGTAGGATTTCTGGTGTTTTCATTGGAGGGAGGGTTAAGAAAACTTCATGAAGCAAATGTGTTTCATCCCCATGGCTGACAGAATACCATGATCTGTTTCAGATAGAAAACAGTTTTTTATTTATTTATTTATTTTTAATTATTTTCATTTTATGTGTATGCGTGTATTGCCTGCATGTAGGTAAGTGCACCCATGTCGTGCAACGCCTATAGAGGACAGAAGATGCTATTGGATCCCCTGGAACTGAAGTTACAGGTGGTTGTTGGCTGCCATGTGGGTGCTGGGATTCAAACCCAGGTCTTCTGCAAGCACAGCCAGTATTCTTAATCGCTGAGCCATCTCTCCAGCCCTTAAGCTTAATAACATTTTAACTTGATGATTTTTCAATCATTGTTTTCTTGTAATATAGCCTATTATATTCCGTGTAGGTTGAAATGGCTGAGGAGTATTCTGAATTTGTGATTGGCTTTATTTCTGGCTCCCGAGTAAGTACAAAACCAGAATTTCTTCACTTGACGCCAGGAGTTCAACTAGAAGCAGGAGGTAAGTTTATTCACTGGCTGTGGCTCTTTCAAAAATTGCTTCTTTACTCATGTCAGGCCAAGTACAACATTGTTATGATGATGTTGCTAAAGAAAAGCTGTCTAGACTAGTCTAGAACAATGCTGAACAAGCTTTTGGCCAGCAATGTTGTGTATTGTTTGCATGACAGCTTGCAGTTTACTTTTAGAATAAAAATTTAGAAAACTACTAGATTTTTGTCCAGAAAACTGGTACTTTAACTAGTATTTCCTGGGTGGTGTTCTGAATTTGCTGCCCAAAGAAAGTATTCTGTGTCCAAGTGAGTTTGGAAAACTCTGGGCTAAACTGTTAAGCATTTGTCAGGGGACTTTGTTGGAAGTGTAGAAGCCATAGCTAGACATTGGCAGATCAGTTTGAGAAATGCAGTTATAAAAGAGTAAGCTAGGTTATAAAAACGTGCATTTAAAAGCTGGGTTTAGTTCAGTAAATAGAGAGTATGTTTAGTATGCATGAGGCCCTGGATTCAACTTCCAGTACCACTACCCCTGCCTACCAAAAAAAATTTTTAGCTGTCCCATAGGGCTTAGTAAACAGCTTCCATTTTGAAGGAGGTAGAAATGAATACTTGGAAACATTTTGCTTTTCCTAATTTGGTTATTGTTCAGGACTAGGTGTTTGTAGCTCAGCTGGTAGAGTGCTGGCTAGCATGCACAAGGCCCAGGGCTCATCTGCAATGCCACATAAATTGACTTTGGTGTTGCATGCCTATAATCCCAGCTCTTGGGAGGTAGAGGTAGGAGGTTCAAGGCCATCCTTGACTACCTAGCAAGTTTGGTGGTAGCCTGGGCTACATGAGACCTTGTCTAAAAAAAAAAGTGGTTGTTGTGTGAGAAAGGTTGTTTATTGTAGCTACTGGACTTTATTCATCCCACCTTTCATCTCTTTCCTTCTTTGAGGATTACTTGCAAGGTTAGAGAGTGGAACTATGACCATTAGGCTTCTTGGTTTATAAAACTATATCATTCCTCAGTGAAGTTCATCATGTTGACAACCTGGTTTTATTTTGAGATAGGATCTCACTATATAGCCTGATGGCCTCAAATACAGAAATCCTCCTGAGTGCTGAGATTAAAGGTATGCATCATCATGCCTGTCTTGTTTTTTGTTTAAGAGCTGGGTATGATGGTGCTTGCCTAGAAAGAATGCCAGATTGGGCTACAGAGTGAGACCCAACAGTAAATTTTATGCTAGTTATTTTTCCTAACATACCCACCTCTCCACACCATTGTTCCCTCAAGTCTAGCTCCTCTCTCTGAAAGTGCCGTATGTACAATAAAAGTCAGTACCTTTGGCTGTTCTCATACACACAGTTTGGGGTATATTTTGTATATGATCAATTGTTTTTTCCTCATCTGGAGTTACTGCATTTCTTTTACAACTCATGGTGTTTCCTAGTTTAGAAATGAGCCATAATATGTGGAAACATTCTGTTGATGTCTGGTGTTTACAATCAGGGAGTGCCAGTATGTGTGTGTCTATGTTTCTAGGATACTGCATCAAGGTTTAGTGTTTAGATTGAAAAAAACTGGTAAACACCTTTTAAACCTGAACTACTAGAACTAGTGAATGAACATTAATTTTGGGGTTATTTTATATAGTATTTGTCATACTTAAGAAAAAGAACTGCTTTTGTTTTTAGGGTTTTTTGTTTTGTTTTTTGTTTTTTTCCTTCCTCTTTGTGAGACAGGGTCTCCCTGCAGTCCCAGCTGGCCTGTAACTTGCTATGTAAACCAGGCTGGCCTCGAACTCACAGATCCACCTGCCTCCCAAGTGCTGGGATTAAAGGCATATGTCGCCACGCCCAGCTTGTTTTTAGTGACTTTAAATGACATTAGAGAAAGTGAATCGGGAAGAAAACTAGCAGACTAGTGAAAATTGAGATGCAGATATTAAAGTTCACTGAAGTTTTTCTGTGCCATTTCCCATCTCAGATTTTATACATTACAGCAGAACCATTTCCTACCTAAGGAGTGGTTGCCTTGATATTCAACAACTCTTAGTAATTTTTAAACTACATTTATGCTAAACATTGGGAGTTGGGTAGATTTGCGTTCTTGGTGTTCCTAATTACCAATGGAAGGGCTAACACTCTTCGTTTTTTGGGACAGGGTCTCTCTCTATTGCCCTGGTTCACCTTTAAAAAATCTTTTTTTTTTAGTGGAGATTGATCTTGGGGCCTTGCATATGCTATACAAGCCCTCTAAACTGAGGTATATCCCCGATACTAAACTACTTTTAATCTCAGGTAAAGTGGGGATAATCATACTGACCTCAGAGTATTGGAGAGGCATCTTTGGGATGATGTGAATAGCCCTTGTAATTGTTTCACCAGGTAGGACATATAGGAATATCTAAAGCATAAGCCATTCGACCCAATGTTCAGAACAACAGAAATAATACAAAGCAGTCATTGAGGATTAGGATGCTAGGATTATAGCAGAAAGAGTTGTGGTCAGGTTAGATGTCTTGGGAACTTTCCCAACAGTGAACACTAACATCCTCTTCAATTGTGAAACCACGTTATGTCTCATAAATGCTCTTTACTTACCCTGAAATCTCTGGTTGATCGAGTGAGTCCAGTCACGTCTGTTTGGAAAGCAGAAATATATTTTTATTAAAGTTGGTCAGATCCTATTTCAGGAGTCATGTGCCACACTTTCTGATTTTTGCATTATGTTAAGTAGTTCTGTTTTTCTACAGCAGATCATCTTGGCCAGCAGTACAATAGTCCTCAAGAAGTTATTGGCACACGAGGTTCTGATGTCGTCATTGTGGGCCGGGGCATACTTGCAGCAGCTAACCGCTTGGAGGCAGCTGAAATGTACAGAAAGGCTGCTTGGGAAGCGTATCTGAGTAGGCTTGCTATTTGATACCTCAACTACATTGATGAGAAGATGCTGAATGAAGATAAGTGGTGTCTCAAAAGTCCTTGGCTTGAAAGCTTCATTGCCCTCACTGCTGCTTGGACTCCTGCACAGGACCAGTGAGGGACAGGCTCCTTTTAAAGCTTGATTTTATTGACACTGGTATTTGTTCAACAACCACATTTGTGGTTGCCAGGACTAGACTGCTTAATTCTTTTAATTGCAGTGAGGCACATTTTAGGATACAAGAGGCTAAAGTCAGTGTGTGTAAGTTATCCTTATAACATCTTATGTTAGTTACTTAAGTGTGACGTTGCTTAAGGGATCAGCAACATCACACTTAAGTGGAGTAGGAGCTTTAGCTCTGGTTCATTTTCTCCTTCCAGGCAACCAGTGTAGGAAGTCAGTCCCAGCTTCCTCTTGCCTCATTTGGATGACAGGCTGCTGCATCTAAGAAAGCAGTGGTACCCGATCCTGACTGCTGTTAATAGCAGTCATCTTTGCTAGTGTTGAAAGGGAGAATTCCTTAGAATAAGAAATTGAGTAGCCAAGTGTAGAACTTAGCTGCTACAGTGTGATTAGTCAATCCCTACAACCAACCAGAACTGGGTACTGTGGTTAAACTATGTTGGCATGATCCACTAGGCCTGGTGCAGGCCTCCAGGCCAAATTCACAGCTTCCCACATATTTGAACCATTTCCCCCTTTTGTCTACGTTCTCACCAACTGAGTCACCATTATCTTCAGTTCTTTAAGTTCTTATTCCTGCTGGGAGAGATCATTTAGCATTCAGCAGAATAAATATTCAAGGCTTGAGAATACTGTGGTGACTATGAGGTGGAACATGCTTCTTAAACAGGACCCTTAGGAGCAAGCAAAATCAAATGATTAAAGAATGAGCAAGGTCAATCTATTAAACAAATAGCCTGCTAATTTTCTTATAACAAATTCCTGCAATACCCAATCTACATGTCTTATCTATAAAAGTATTAGCAACTGCACCTTACACAGCAAATAACCTAGCACCCTATAATAAAGTGAAAATAAAGCAGTTAAAAAAATGCTTGAAAGTTCTTTTATAGTAGATGAAATCCCACTGAAATGGGTCAACAGCCCATGGAAAACACAGAGAGACCCAAAAGGTCAGTGCCTTGCCACCAAGGGGGGATGATCATCCCACACCTATCACCCCCTCCAAGGCTCAGGCACTTTTGCAGAAGAGATTGGCGGAAAGAATGTAAGAGCCAGAGGGAGGGGAGTGTTAACGGGAAGTGTCCTCCGACACTGTTGGCAAAAAAAAAACAAAAAAACAAAAAAAACAAAAAAACTTGATTACAGTGTAATCTCATCAAGGAAAAGGCGTAAATAATCAAGGAAAATTTAAGACAGGAGTCTCATGATGAACTTGTTCTGATGTCTGGGGAAAGCTATCAGCTTCTAGGAAAACCTTCCTGCTGGGCTTTACCAGCGGTGTGGTTCCAGAAGTTCAGAGGGGCCCCTTCAGTTATAAGATAGAGACCTAAGTTGAGGCCCTGCAGTCCCCTCTACAAAGATTCAGGAACAGTCTTTGATTTCTAGAAGATGAGGACTTCGGGTTGACTGTCAACGCTTCCTTTACCTAGTGAAAGTATATGTTGGCAGTAAAGCCCTACACTATTTCTTCATATCAGAATTTTGGAAAAGTAGGAAATATGTAAGGTTCTTTCAAGGACACAGACTTCTGGTGAATATGCTACCCATGAACACTCTGCAGGCAATCCAATCCACCTTATAAATCAGTTTTGAAATGGTATCAGCCTTTCTGAGGACTGCATGGCAGTGTAACACTGTTTAACAGTTACACAGTTTACCCAAGAAAATGGATTTGTCACTGGAGGTGTCTCCAATGATCATCCTATAAGGAAAACATTTCCCAGTGGCCTCTAGCTACTCTATTGGCCTTTCTGCTTGGACTCTTTCTGTATAAGCCAAGAACATAGACTAGTAGAGCATATTTATAGCCTAGAAGGTGGCAAGTGCATGAAATCCTCTTGTAAATAATCGAGTAGTCCATCAGATAGCAAGAACAGACCACTGCAAGTTTTGAGTCTTCTCAAGAAGTGCTTGACACTGCACATTGGCTGTAATCATTTTGGCAATTAGTCTTGTCATGTAGCCCAGGCTGACCTTGAACTTAAAATCGTCCTAGGCCTCCCAGGTACTAGGATTATAGGTACCATGCATATAGCTTTATTTTAGCAATTTTAGGATAGTAGCCATATTGGTACTTCCCATAAGCCATTTCATTTTGCCTGCTCTGTGAAAAGTAATACAGTGTAAAACTTCTAATGATAGAAACTCTAAACCCGGAAACACCAAGTGGCTGTCCAGGCCCTCCATAGATTCACATTTAACACTGAATTCTTTTCAGATACTAGTTTTGTTTATACACTTCAGGCCTATGTAGCCATCCATTTAAATTTGAACCAGTCTTAAAGAATTCATTCAGCTACCTCAAAAAGGCAACTGTAAACAAAGCTAAACAACTATAGGGAAAATCTCAATGAAGAAAACTCAGGCTAGGGAGATGGCTTGGTTGGTAAGGTTGGAGAACCTGGGTTTGAATCCCCAGTACCCTTGTAAAGGCCAGCAGCAGCTGCACATCTGTAACCCAGAGGGTTAGGGCGTAGGAGATACCTGGAACTCACTGGCCAAGCCAGTCTAGCCAAATTAATGAGCTTCAGGTTCTGTGAGAGACCTTGTCTCAAAAAAATAAGGTGAATAGGGGCTAGAGAGTTAAGAGCACTGACTGCTCTTGCAGAGGATCTGGGTTTGGTTCCCAGCACCCACATGGCAGCTAACAACCATCTGTAACTCCAGTTCCAGGGGATCCAACACCCTCTTCTGATCTCCATGGGCATTGTACTACATGGGTGCATTTACATGCAGGCAATACACTCATACACATAAAATTTAAAAATATTTCTTAAAAAATGAGTTGACTAAGCCAGTACGTAAAGTTACCTCCTGTCATGTCACGCCTGATGACCTGAGTTCAATCCCCTCTATCTGCCATGAATGCACATACAAATGTGTTCGTGCGTACACATGAAAGATCTTTTCTAGGTAGTCAAAACCTCAACAAGCTCAGGTTCTTAAGATCAGCTCAAGCCAATGCTATATACATAGCAATCACACACTCTTAGGGTCAAAAAGAACTCCAAAAGGAGCCAGGTTCTAATTTTGCTGGATATACTTTATAGCTTTACTGTCCAGAAACATGTCATGTTCTTCACGTAAGTAGTTTGTAATTTTATTAGAATTGTTTACAAGTAGTTATGCTTTATAGTGACAGTCTAGGAAGTAAGCAGTTTAGACTTGGATATCTGTTTGCAGATGTGCACCATTTCATAATGTTTAGGAACATGTTTTCTCATAGTACCAAGCCTTTTATGTCTTTTTAACAGAAATGTATCTGGCTTTCCTGTACCACAAAACCAAGATGCTCCATTAGCATAATTAACATGAAACAGACCAGTGCTGTTTGGTATTAAGTAGATGGCAACAGCTGACATGAAGAGTGCAATTCAATATCCATCTGTTCATGTTTGCAAATGCAAGCACGGTGAGAGGCAATCTTTTCTGCACAGAACTTGGCACAGTTGCTCCCTTTCTGTGTTTTCCACTTGTATATCTGTTTCACCTGTGATTCGAATGAAGGCGCACCACACCCACCTTGATTGCCACCACATCCCTGCCCCAAACAACATGGAACAGGTCAAATACCTGCTACGTGAGTGCATCCTGTCGTTCAGTGTTTTCTTGGGGATTCGGGCTTTCTCAGTGAAAGCAGGAACAATTTTACAGCCTTTTCCAATCATCAAACTTGGGAAGTCTCCAAGATCACGTCTTCTGACTACCCTCTGTCACAGTAAAATTAGGATGACTAAGGAAAAAAGTCTCAGCATTTTAACCTCAAAATGACTTAATCCAAAAGTATCCATCATTTAATCCAACCTCCACTACCTATCACCTCAGATTACTGAGATTCTCCCAAACAAGATCGTTTGCTGATTTCTGTGCATTTACTCATTCATGACCATTATGCTTAAATTTTTTGTTCAACAGTTAGCCATTAGAGAAGTTCAGGAATAACCACTCCAAAATACTATCATAGATAAGTTGAAAGCACCTGAAAAGCAACAAAGCTAAGTGCCCCCTTGATATCCTTAAGAACAGAGCCTTTAAAGGACTCTGCTGTTCACAGATCTCTAGACCAGCTCTTAACCACAGGACAGTTCTCCACCTTAAGAGAGGCCTTGGAATAACTGTCTACCTCATTCATTAAAAACCATTCATTTCGAAGACATCTTCAGCCCAATCATTTGGCTCATTTCAGCAAGGTGGCTGAGTCCAGGGCCCTGGCCCTTTTGAATCTACAACAGCAATTAGGTAGGTTAGACTTCAGGCCTGCTAAGACAGCAGTGTAAGTAGGATGCTTGGCCAAGACAAAATGGCAAAGCTAATGTACAGACCTGGTCTTTGCTGCTTCTCTGAAAGCAGCTGGTGATTTGGTCCCCTCTCCAGGTGCAGAGGGAAGCCCCTCACTAACAAGAGCTCTTCTTCCATATATTCCTCTTCAACAAAGACTGGACTCTTCCCAAGGCAGCCTGGGTACTTTTCAACTACATTACTGAGTGCAGGGTGGGACCCACTAACATCAATAGAGCAGACAGCCTCTTCCATGCTGAAACTATACACTTTTCCATTATGCTAAGATTTTTATTTTTTAAATCTCATGCAATTGGCCTGTTAGAAAATTTTTGAAATTTATTTTTATGTATATGAGTGTTTGGCCTTCATATACATAAATGTACCTGCTGTGTGTGTGCAATGCCTGAGGAGGTCAGAAGAGGGCATCAGATCCCTAGAACTGGAGTTACAGAGGGTTGTTAGCTGCCCTGTTGGCGTTGGGAACTGAACCCTGGTCCTCTGCAAGAGCAGCCAGTGCTCTTAACTGCAGAGTCATCTTTCCAGTCCCTGAGCGTTCTTATAAATTGCTTTGAGTTCTAAATGGAGAAGCATTTCCTAACCTAGAACCCAGACTGTTTGGTCCAGGCAGCCACCACCAACCCCAAAAGCTTCATACCCTCTCAGCATGCTAGGTATAATCCCAGGCTGTGCAGTCTCATAGCACAGTGTCTCGGAGTTCCAGAAAGTGAGATCCCTTGACTAGATGAGCCCATAGCTGTCTTTCTTATCTTTAATAGTCTGCCAGCCTAATAAGCCCAGTGCAGTTTAGTCTCACCTCTATAAGACCAGATCTTATTCCTACTGAACCTAGTCCAGACACCTAAGGCTTCTTTTCAGGACCCAGGCTGGTTTTTAAGACTTCCATACTTTGGACCAAAACGTTTGCTGAAACTCACTTCAATATACAAACATACAGAGTGTTAAAATCCAAGAGAACTAACTTTGATTCCCAGATGCAGTGAGAAATGGTGGGCCCAGGTTGGTTACTCAATGCTCCCAGGAGTCACTGGGGCTCTTCTTGCAACCTTGCCAACTGTACTGAAACTATTAAGGAAAAGTCATTGCCAGTTACAGCACGTGAGTTTAACTGAGCAAAGAGACACAAATCAGACAGCCCCCAGTGCAGGTTCTGATACCAACCAACAATGTCATCTGACCAAGACAGAAAAAGAAGTGAAGCATAGAACATAACCTAATTGACAGTAGCTTAGCCAGCCTGTTTACAGCTTAGTTTGTTGCAGGAAAGTATAGCTACTGTGATTAAACTCTATTGGTTTGGTCTGTAGAGCCTCATGCAGGGCCAGAGCCAAATGTACAGCCTCCCACAAATTCTAACACTGATAGTAAAGAGAACTCAGTGTACACCAAATATTCACATTTCTGGGCTTCTGCTGTGGAGGAGCTGGGAGCTCCACCTCCTCTCCTCACAGGCCCTTCCATAATCCACATGTGACATAAGCAACCAGACGGCCTCTCCTCACTCTGGTCCCAAATGTTCTAGTTCTTACAGAAATTCCTGAGGTTCTGGATGAATAACAGCCTGTCCCTG